AGCATCCCATTGCTTCAAACACTGTTTTGAAGTGATTGCAATATCCATCAACATTGAAACAGTCAATTTTCTTTTGATTTTCAGATGTGTGGAAGCTCTCAATTCTGCATTTTGGTCTGTTTTCTTGGTAGTAAGACATGACCATGTTCTCAAAATTGCGAGATCGGTTATGTCTAGTCTTGAACTTTTGAATATCGAAATTAAACTCCCATCTTGTGTACAATCCTGTTGGTATGTCTTGACACATTGAATAGGGATAAAGCTGGCTCGCATCAATTCCAAAAATTGATTTGCAGACATTTGATGAATTCCTGATAAAGGTTTCATCCACAACAGCTTTTCGCGTAAACACAATTGATGGTCCACCCGTCATATGCTCTCTAATTTTCTTGCACAAATCTCTATCACTTTCGCAAAAAGGGTAGAATTTTTCATTGGTTGATCTGTGAAGACAAAAATTTGCCAGAATTGGTAGAGTACATCTGCGTTTTAACATATCAATTTCTTTCTCATAATAAAACTGAACCATTTTTTGCATCTCTTCAAGTGTTGGAACAACATCTTTGTTGTTGTACCACTGAAAAAAGTCTTTAAATGTATTCATTCTATGTTTTTGTCAAATCTCCTGTAAATATTTGTAATTATCCCATGCAGATGCAAATAATGACTTGATTTGAAGTTTCTTTAGTGCTTGCTGCTCATCAAGTCCACTTGTCTTCAGATTCTGGTAATCCTTAAAATCTTTATCGAGAGGGTTGTTTTTTCTCAGTTTACTGAAAAAGGCTTCGTGTGGAGGTAATTCTTCTTTCTCGAGCTTGTCTGGACTGTCAAACCACTCATAAGGGAAAACCCTTTTGTTTCACTGGCTTTAAGAAAGGAATCTAGAGATGTTGCTCCACCCAAAAATTTCATGATATCGAGAAACTGTAGATCTCCAAACTGGAAGGTTATGAAATCGTTAGCCTTTTTGATAACCATAGGTTCAGCTTCTTTATCATTGATTAAGTAGGGAATCAGATAGCTCTTGATCAAGTTCAGATCATATCTTCCACTGTTAAACCCAAATACAGGTAACGTGTTAACATACCTTTCCAGGTTTTGTTTCAAATCAATCAGCTGATTTTTCTGCATTCTCAAAAACTGAGTTGACATATCAGTTTCCTCTGTATCTTCTATACAAGCATCTTCATATTCAAAGTTTTCAGTTGGATGATTTCGACATCTTTCATACAACTCTTCGAAAATTTTCGACATCCGCTCTTTCATTACTCTTTCAATATCTTGAAATTTAGTTCTCACTTCGAGCTTACTTTTCTCAGCCAAAAATTCGAGTTTGATTACAAAATCGATAACAAACTTTTGCGGATCCTTGTTATAAAGAAAAATTGGTTCATCTATTGGGTTCGAGGATATTGATTCAGAAATTGGAACGTGTTTTCCAATCACAGTTGTTGTTTGGGTAGCTTTCAATTCATCTGATGGAACACATATCGACTCAAAATCGAAAATGGCTGGGTTGTTGAATAGTGTATCATCTTTCGAAAATGGGATATTGAAACTTTCCAACTTTTCAAATAGCGTTTCTCGAAGTTTATATACATCCTTCGGATAAATGTGTCGCACTCTATCTTTACAAGACATAAGATGTCTGTTGAAGTTGTCTGATCGTTTGAAGGAACAGTCACAGCTAGGACATCGGAAACACTTCAAGAAAGCATCAATATCATTCGTATGAAGGATATGAATGTTGAATCTTAGCATTTTCACAGAACTTTTGAATTTTCCAATACTT